TTTTTTTTTTGCTTTTATATAATCATGTATTTTATTTCCTCTTGTTACATTACTAATATGTATACATCTGACCATAGTAGCATTACCACCCTGATTCATTAATTTTTAGTGCTTTGTACTGTTCAGTTTTTTTAATATTGACGGCTCAGTTATTGTAAACTGCTCATCGATATCTTTTAAGGCCAGGACTAAAGTTTCTTAAATTCCCAGTCATTCTTTCCCTTCCCGTTTTTTTTTTTTTTAATCACTGATTTCCTTGTAGTTTCTGGCCAAATGTAACATTGCTATAACAGTTGTAATTAATGTTTTCGACTGTTTTCTTTCCGCATATTTTGTCCCTGTGATTATTGATTAAATCAGTTTTAAAGACAGAGGGTGTAGATTGCTTGAAATTGTTTGGTATATGTCTGTTATACTCCAATAATAATGGAAGGAGTAAGTTGATTTATGAAATAATTTATACCTCATTTATTGTAATTTCAATTTATGTTTTTGCCCATCTTTTTCAGTGATGATAATGTGTGCTGATAAATTTCAAACTAATTTGCTGTCCTTGATTGGTAAAATATTGTTATTTAAGCAGCATTATTTTAACACTTTTGTAAAATTTTCCATAAATTTTTGAATAATAAAGTATAGAGATTTAATAAAGTATAGAGATTTATAAGCGTGTTTTCTAGAACAGTATGAGAAATGCGATGTCATTATGATGTATTAGAGGTTGATTGTAATGCTGATGATGATACGATCAAAAAGTCTTATCGAAAGTTGGCTCTCAAATGGCATCCTGATAAAAATCCAACTAATGTGGAAGAATGTACTAGGTAAAGTTCTAAATTCAGATTCCGGGTTTCACTGTGCGGAACTGTAGAACTATTGGTAGGCTAGTTCTTTGATAAGAATTATCTTTATAAATTCAAGAGGATGGTTTTGCTTGAATACTCGTACTTCCTATAACATTTTCTTTCAACCCATGGGAGATTTTTTTAGGTACTTTGCGTTAATACAGCAAGCTTATGATATTTTGAGTGATCCACGTGAAAGAGCTTGGTATAATCGACATAGAGAAAGCATTCTAAAAGGAGGTTATTTTGTATTCTTTGAATTTTTTTAATTATAAGCTTCACTACCATTTGTGAGGAAATGAAAGTATGTAGCTGTTGGCGAAGTTTCTTGAATAATATATGGTGATAAAGGTCGGCTGATTTTGGAATTATGTCGTTAAAATATAGTTCAGTATACAGATAAAACCGATCTGATGTAATTAGGCGACTGTTGAATATATTCATTAACATGATGGTAGTTGTTGCTGTCACTGTCGTCTTATGTTCTGGAAATTTTCTGTTCTGCAGTGCAGTTTCTCTGGAAGTTCTATAACTATACATTATGCATTAACCTCTTAAAAGATAATTACAAAGTGAGTCGTTGAAACTTCTGGTTGCGTCACTGTTCCAGTTCACTCAAAATATTTTTATATATAAATAAAAAAATATATCTTAAACGAGCATTTGTTGTTTAGGAATTAACGAACATTATGAAGACAACAGTCTTAATTTATTCCCTTATTTCACATCAACTTGCTATTCCGGTTTTGAAAGTAATCATAAGGTAAATTTCTCTTCTAGAAGCAAACGGTGCATTCTGTTTGCAGCAAATTTTTAATTATAGTTGTAGTTTAATTTCTAATTATAATTTTTAATTATTCAGCGAATTTTTAATTGTTTAATTGTCTTAATTATATATATTTTTTTAAATTTATATTACATTTCCAGCATATTTTTAATCTGTAGCAAATTTTTAATTATACATTTGATAAAATAGGTGAATATAACAACAGAATGTAATACTTGTACCTTTTTATGGCTTCATTCTCCCAGAAATATATCAAAGATTCTAGAAATTTTTTTATAATAAATTGGATTTTAAGTTACTCGTGAACAGTGTCTAACATAAAATAAAGTCTGATGTATTTCGGCTAGAACTTTTTGCAGAATTTTTATGTTGTATATAGACAAGTCTTCGACACCCTGGCGTCTGAAGATTATGAATTTCTGGATGGACAACCTCAGGCATATCCAAGCTTCGGTGATGAGAACAGTACCTATGACGATGTATGTTTAGTTACAACTTCGTTTTGTATTTTGTAGTCGTATTTTTACAGAGTTATCCGTAAAATTAGAAATAGCTTCGCAATACATAGGAATATTTGTTCCTTTTTAGTGTTTTACTACAAAGATTAGAATCGATTTTTCATAAAAATATGTCATTTTGTAGATAGTTGGTCCGTTCTATGCATTCTGGGGAAGTTTTTGCACCGTCCGATCATTTGCATGGTTAGACAAATTTGACATACGTGATGCTACAAATCGTCGCGTTGTCAAGGCGATGGAAAAAGAAAACAAGAAATTGAGAGAAGCGAGCAAACGTGAAAGAAACGAAGAAATTCGGGTTATCTTCATATGGTTTTAAAATGTTTTAGCAATCTTAAGGAAAGTTAAAATAGTTTGAAGAGCTGTGATTAGTTCGTATTTCACTAAAGTGTGGTGTTTTAGGATGTTGGCAATTGTTCTTTTCATTCATAGGAAAGCAGAATACATTTTTCTATCTTACGAAAGTAAATGAAACATTCAACGGAAACCTTTTATTGACTCATATCAGTTCACATTTAAGGCTTTGGTTTCATTCATACGAAAGCGAGATCCACGGGTTCATGCACACAAAAAGGAGCTAAAGGAGAGAAGGTTGGAACAAGAAAAAAGGCAGAGGAAAACAGGAAACTGAAGATTTTGGAACAGTTAAGGTAATTTCGGACTCTGGTTAAAATTCTCAGTTCTTCAGATTAATTCGGCAATATCCAAACGCTTGATATTGTTCATATTTTGAAGTTATTAGAAAGAGCATTTCATTAACCATATTTTTTTTCCATTGCTCATCTGTTTTCATTTTCAAGTCAAGCTGGTAAATACAAAGAATCGGAAGAAGTACGGCAGTCGCAGCTGGAGAATTTGCGTGAAATTGAGGAAGCTTTAGATGCGGAATTCGGAAGCAATAATGACGGAAGTGAAATGGAATTTCAGAAAGAATTGGACTTTTATTGTGTGTTTTGTGAAAAAGCATTCAAAACTGAGTAAGTAATCAACTTTTTTATGCTTCTTTCCTTCTACTGGAGATAAATTCTCCATAATTTTTATATGATAATATATATAATTCCATTACAGAAAGGCAATGAACAACCACAAGAGATCGAAAAAACATAAGGATACGGTTGCTTTGTTAAAGAAGCATGTAAAGGTATTCAGGTTTCATATTAAATACTTTTCATTTTTGATACAATTTTGTATGGAGTACTTTCAGTTTTGGGGATGAAGTTTATTACTATGCAAGATTATATTATTTGGTATCATCTCCATATGATCATATTATTTGGTGTTACCTCTCAGATTAAAATTAATATTGCATGAGATATTTTTGGCATAGGATAAAGTCTCTTAATCATCAAAGTTTAAATACTTTAATTTGAAGGAGGATGATGCTTACTTATTAGTAATTGATGAAAAAGATGTTGCAAATGAGGAAGCTAAAACAGGTAAAAAGAAGTCAAAAGAGCAAAAACAAGAGGAACGGAAAAAAGATGTAAATGATTCGGATGAAGCCGACGGTGACGATAGGTAAGACTAACGAGTTGGTTTTCACTTGTAATTTTTCTGCACTGCACTTTAATAGTATTTCTTTTTTACTGTGCTATCTTTTACTTCTAGTTTTCATCTAATTTTAAATCAGCATTATTTGAGAAACGAACCAAACGCATCGGAAAAAGAAGCGAATGAAATTTTAATTAAAAGTAATACTGAGCGGCTTGGCGAGGAATATGCTGCAAACACTAACGAGATAAATATATTCTTGGAAATGTCCAAAGAAGTTCCAAAAATATCGCAACCTAATAATAAAGGTTCTTGTGTTGTAGATTTTTGTATTCTGTTGCTTCATTAATGATATATTTGATTTTGCACAACTTAATGGCTCATTATTACTAGAAAGATAAAGCTCTCCCTTATTTATTCTCCCTTCTTTACTAATTTAATCGTTCTTTTTGTATTACTTATTTTTTCGTAATTTAAAATTATGATCGTACACCCCATTAGAAGATAAAGTTAAGTATTATGGCTGACGAATGAGATTATTTGGTAAATTTGCATCGTTTTGGTAAAGCAAAGTAGTGAGTGACTTTGGATGATACTGATAAAATTTTTGGTTTCAAATTTCGGGTTAAAATATCAAGTTGAAGGAAATGTTTCTACACTAATCATTGTTTGGAGAGTGATAATAAAAACAGTTTCAGCTCGGAGGCGTAAAGAAGGAGCAGGAATTGCTAAAAGTAATGCGGCGGAAGACATAAATTCAAAAAAAAGTACATGTGATCGTTGCGGTGAATTTTTCGAATCTCGGACAAAATTATTTGCTCATTTGAGAGAATCCGCGCACGCGACACTGAAAACATTTCCTGTTGCGACTTCAACAAAAGTTAAAATCAGCAAAGTTAGGAAAAAGTGATGCTTATAGGCGACGGATCCTTCATCTTTTGAACTTCTGTTTGTATTAAATCGTTAAAATAAAATTCCACTTTTTTCGAAATTATCTTGAATATGCAATAGTATGTTATAAACTCTAGCTGTTAATTCTTTTCTTCTGCAGTTCTGAATATCGGAGTATTAAGACCTAGTAACAGAGTGAAATAAAATAGATGTGATCTGTCATGAATAGCTTAGATGTCAAAGTGTAATAAATTTTCTTCCTCCTTATTTGGTATGATTTGGGTTACTATGCGCAGCATTTTAAGAAGTCTATAACCTACCTAGAGAAAGTAGCGTACTTTCTTTTCAGCTCTTAAGATCCTAAACTTGATAGAGCATACCTTTCTAAATGTAATGTTGCGTCCATCAGTAAGGAAATCTGCTACACAGAAAATGAAAATCTTTCTGGTTTCTGTAACAGTTTATAGACAAATTTAAGGAAGAAAATTGAAAAATACGTATTTTTACGATGAGATTCATTATATTATGTGTTTATGAGCAAAACTTTTCTGGGTTGTTGTCGGTTCATAATACATCGTTTGCCAGTTTGAAATCGTTTTAGATTTAATTAATAATAACTTGGTGATATATTATAATGGATGTGTGAAAAAGCTTATCGATGACTGAAAGGAAATCTGCATATGAAATAGCAGGATGTAAGCCTATAATCAACTTATCATGTCTAACAATCATATTTTTAGTTCCTGAATTTGAAGCGTGTTTTCTTCAAATGCCATAGATTCGTCGAAGGTTCAATTATGTAAGGAAGCAGTAATTTTACATTTGTTTACTTTTTCTTCAGACTTCAAATTTTACAACGGTTCGCCTACTTAGTTCACCTAAGTCGATCGAGTGGTGCCTATCAATCGTTCGTCGTTCCTTGATGAATTTTTCATGAAGTAATCTGCCTTCTTCTTGTGCTGTTTCAAACGACCTGATAATATTAGTAATCGTTATCATGTTTGTAGGAAAAAGTTATGAAAGAGACACGAAGCTTTAAGTGGGGACTCACCCGATTGTTATACCATCATAACGAGATTTTCGTTCGTCGATACCCTGCAAAATTTCCCGAATCTCCATGAGAAGAGAAGATATCATCTGGGAGAATTTTCCGGTTGGAACAAACACGTGTATGCTAGGATAAAGTAATACCTGCAAGGAATAACCAATGCGCTTTTTCACGGAGCAGCGACCTTTAAGTAAAAAAGATGATCGCCTTGACAACAGCTGATTTTCCTCAGCAGCTGTTGATATCAGGTTATCGAGATCTCTCAGTACACTCTTCAGCTGTCGAGGTGATGCCTATAAATTGGTTACAGTACTTATAATTTTGAATGAAATAAAATCCTTGAAGTTGTTATCTTCAGTAATGAGCAAAGAAAAAACGAAAAGTACCCATCAACCGCAGTTCTAGATTCTTTTGGGGGTTTCTGAACAATAACTTCGCCTAAGACTAGCACTTGCTACAATCAAGATTATTACTTTTTCACTTAATTCCTATACTATTTTAATATTTTTATATATTTGGGTAATAAAAAACATTCAGCATTCCTTGGACTTACATTTAGTTCAGTGGCAACAATTTCCAACAGTTTCGATACTTTCATACTTTTACCACCAAACCAAACGTGTACATCACGAGCTCCACGTAACTTTCGTCCCAAGTAGTGAATCTAAAATTCAAAACTTTATTCAGATTTTTACTATCTTCAGTAAATATTATTGCGTTGTATCTGACTATGGTAATGCTATTTGCATATCGAAACGGCCAAATCTTTTTCATTCTAAACAAGATATCATGTACCATTATTGTCTATTATTATTATTATTATTATTA